ACAGTCTTAATTCTGAATTTCTCTGCCTTTGTTGATCTAAGTTAGTATCGTAAAGTTTTTTAATGTTCAGTAGTTCCTTATATGTTGTTCCTTTATTTTAACTGCCCCCTTAGTAACTAGGTTCACTTGGGAGTTGGGAACAAAATGACACCTGTGTTTGCATCGCTTGTTTTCCTATCGTGTGAATTCAAAGAAACATTCTTGTTTATATCATGTCATAGATCAAATATAGGAAGTTTCTTACCCCTTTAAGGAGTCCCGTTTCATATTGGTTTTATTTATGCTGTTGATAAATCATTCAGGAATGTTTGCTAATGAAAAGAATAAACTCATCATAAACAAAATCATAGTTTATAGAAACCATATTTGAAAATATTATAAAATAAAGTAGCTTTCCTTTGTACTCATAGAAACACAAATTTGTAGTTGAAGGAAAAGAAGTTAATGAATTTAGCTTTAATTATATCTATCACTTCCCATCTCTATCCCCCACTTCCATTGCAATAATGTCAGTTTTTCAGTTACTGATGTGTCCCAATGTTTGCTAAGACTTTTTGTAGAGTTTCTGATTTTTAAACTTCATGGTCTTTTAAAAAATCCTTACGTTATTTTTAAAAAAAATTTTAATACTATACTATTAAATATACTACTAGTACTTTTTAATACTACAGAAATATGCCAACAAACACTGAAATACTCTCCCTCTGAAGTGCTTTCCCTGAAAACAGTTCTACAGAGTCATCTTATATGAATGATTATGAGTGATGGTACATTAACAATCTCTTAAAAGACATTTTTGCTAACTAAAAAATTGATTTCCATTAGACCTGGTAGAAAATGGCATGAATTCTAGATTTTAAAATGTTTAGCAGCGTTTGTTAATAATAATGTTCATCCTTATGAATAATAACAGTATTAATTGTTGTATTACTTAAAGTATCGTATATTTGCTATTAGGTAAGTAGTTATATACACTGCTTTTATTCATTCATTCAACAAACCAGGCCAGGAAATGGCCTGATTTATATTATGGTTAATAAACATGTAATGTTTTCCAAATGATATTGATATTGATGGTGGCACTTCCAATTATGCTTTTTATAAGACGCTTTCTTGACATGTTAGTGATTTGCACTGTGTTTGGCAAATAGTACTTAATAAATGCTTGTTGGTTTGAAAAATGGGAATGGGAGAGTGTAAAGCTCCTGTTGGTTGATGGTAGACTGGCTAAAGGAGGCGTTCCAGGATTTTGTAATGTAAAGTTATGAAATGCATCCTAACTCATTTGACTCTTTTATCTAAGTACTTAGGCACTTGATTGCTTATAGAATTTTTAATAAGGCTTTGTTAGGAATTAATACCTTAAGCATTTGGTTAACTTAGCCATTTTAAGAATACTATTTTTCTTAATTTTAACGACTTCATAATTTATCATGCCAAAGTAAATACTGTATCAAGGACTTCAAAAAAAAGTTAGTAGATGTGGAAATGAACATGTGTTGTCAGAAAGCAGGATGTACTCCAAGAACTTCTGGTAGGAATCAATCCATCTTCACAGTCTTTCCTGATGTCTTATTGTGGAGGCACTCTTACCAACCATTGGATGTGGACGAGAGGAAGTGTCATTTAAGTTGTCTTAAATTATTAAGTATGTTAAGTTGTATTGGCAGCATTCTGAATTCAGAGCCTCCATATGCAGACTCCCAGCCTTCTCTCTGGCCTTCCCTCATACCTGGAACACTCTCCCTCCTCCTCTCTGCTTCCTGGCTTCCCTGGCTTTCTTTAAGCCTCAGCTAACATCCTACCTTCTACAAGAAACCCTCCCCAGTCCTCTGTAATTCTAATACTTTCTCTCTCATTATTACTTCTCATGTGTCCTGTACATAACTTGTTTTGTACACAGTTGTTTGCATGCTGTCTTCCTTCTTGACCTGTGAACCTCTCAAAAACTGAGACTGTCTTTTGCCTTTCTTTGTGTCCTGTGCACTTCGAGCAATGGCTAGAGCTTAGTAGGAGCTTAATAAATGTATGTTGACTGAGTGCAGTTTTAAGCTTTAATATCAAATATTCCAGAGCAATTAGTTGATGGAGAAGCCCTTTAGAGTTTATGAAGAGCCAGCAATTTTAACCACTTAGTAGGAAAGGAATTACAAGATGGCCTACCCAAGCTGGCTGCCAGTTACTAAAGGCAGGAACACTGTGTGAAGCTCCTTTTGTGTCTTTTCAGCACCTAAGACAGAGATGGACATATGGTAGGATCCCCAGGGAGTCTTATTTTACATGTTTTCATGCCTCAATGTGACTCCTACAATCTTACACCTGTGGGTTTCTCCTTTTTTTAACTTAAATTGAAGGTTTTTATGGAATTTCTGAGTTGGAAGGGACCTTATTGGCCATCTGGCCAGCCCATACCAGTAACAGAATCCCCTCTACAACATTCCTGACCAGTGGTCATCCAGCATTTGCTTGAGGTTCTCCAGGAATGAGGAGCTTACCCCCAACCCCAGCAGCAGCCCATTGTGCTATGAGACAGCTCTGATTTTTAGTAAGGTTTCTTTCTGTATCATGCTGACAAATCTTTTCTCTCATTTGTCTGATTGCTTATTGTGCTCTTTTGCTCCTAAAAGCCATTGTTATGACCTTGCTTAGTTGTCCAAGCTTCCTAAAAAAATTTTTTTTACCTTCACTGATTCTCTAGTCTATGAGGTGATGCTGCTTCTCATCTTCCACCATCCTTCTATAATATTTTACAAATGAATTTATGTGTGAAACCAGTAGTGGTTTTGGCTGCTGGGTCTTTACGTTTGGCGAATAAGCTAAGTGATTGCCAACAAAAGTGGTTTTTAGATCTTTAACTTTCCTTGTTTGTGGCAATTGATCTATAGAGATTATAATTCTGAATAGAATTTTTATAAGCAACATCAATGTTATTTTTCTATCCTCTTCCCTTTTTTAATGCCAGTCATTTAAATTAGCCAGGCTGAAGTTATTTTTAACAGCATGCCATATTGTTCATTTTTTTTTCTTTAATCTCTGTGATAATTTTCATTCTTTTACTCTAAAAAGTTGGTGGCCTGAGTGTACCCAGGCATCTGATTCAAGGATGACTCCTGGATCAGTAATGAGTTATTGCTTTAGGGTTACTTTTTGTGATTTCCCTGTAAGATCACTGTTTCAGGTGACTTTGGATTATTTTCTCAAAGATAGTGCATGGTCCTGGTACACACGCCTGACTCTGCATGGCAGTGCACACACTTTGGGCTGGCCTGTCTCATTTTTGGCTGTTCTTACGTGTTCTTATCTTTGCATTGAAGTCACTAGGTCTCAGAGGATGTAATGATTTAATTTGAAAGGTCTTAGTAAGTTTTTGGTAGAAGTTTTCTACTTCCTCATCTTTTGCAACAAATGTTGGTATCTGCGTTGCAGTGTCTTTGGTGATCATATTTTCATTCATACATATACATAATCTGTATATACAAACATGCGTATATATATACACATACATACTTATACATGCACATAGCCATATGCCTCATGAGCAATGCAATAAGAGATGACCAAATGTCCCATGACTCGGTCTGTCTTGGTACGTAAGGATGCAGGGTAGAACCCGCCCTGCCCACTCCTTTATTTGTCTCCCCAAGGACAGACAGCCTGTGAGCTGTCCATCCATTCAGCTTGTTTCATTTGTAACAACAAGACTTTTAAGACTGCTGCAGCCTATTTCCTCCAGGAGCGTGTTCAGTAGCTAGCCACTGGGCAAGCTGTTCACATTTGGAGTAGCAAGAGCCACATCGGTGTTTGTAGGTGGTCTCAGGACTGGGGGATGCTTAGAACCCCTTGGCCCCTTTCTGAACTGCTCTGCTGCCATTACTGCAGGAGTGGAAGAGGCCCTAGGACTGACCGTTCTGCTATAGGTTTCTCTGTCCTATGTACAAAGACCGTATCACCACATGGAGAGGTGATGAGCCTCTCTGTGCTTAAGGAGGCTCATTGTTGGAAGACAGACGTGTTTTGTTGTCAAGATTGTGCTGGAAGCTTTCTAGCATGGTGGAATCTGCCAGAGCTTGTGTTCCACTGGCTGGCACAGGCTTTGAGAATCAGAGTCACTTCCATGCCCCAATGAGGTACCTGATGTGGAGTTTGGGGAGCCCTCACTGAATGACGGTCATGATGGAATCCTTAGGATGAGTCCAGATCTGACCATGGGATGCCCCTTCTTCTGGACAGCCCTCTAGGATCAAAGATAAGACCCACTGTGAGCTTTCACAGCCCCTTCCAACCTTCCCCCTGCCTGCCTTTCCAGCCTCTCTGGGCAGGCCTCGCCCTCTTGTCTCTGCTGTCCAGCCCAGTTGACCTTCTTTCCGCCCCTCCTGGCCACTTAATAAATCATTGCTGATTGGTCAAATGTATTTGTTTAAAATGTCCTCTTTTTTCTCTCAACAGTACCAGCCCAGAGGCAGAGCTAGCCTGGAGTTGGGCTATTTTTATTTGTGTTTTAGGATTATAGCACAAGGCTTAGAGCACCGTGGAGCATTTGCTCTGGAGATAAATCATGTTCACCTGTGTTTACTTTAGCATCTTTTTTCTACTCTAAGAACTACAGAGAGTGACAGGCAGGTACAGGTGCAAAGAAGGCAAAGGGGGGATTTTGTTTAAATTTCCTGGCTCCATCTTCTGGAACTTGTTGAAAACAATGCCTTTTAGCAAAAGTAGGGCTGCAGTCCTCTGCCTGTAGAGGATAAAATGGAACAGAACCTGTTTTCGCCATCATCACATTACATTCCAATCTCGCTGTAGTTTCTAGCACAATTTTTTTCCAGCAGATAAGCACAGATAAGTTTGCTATTGAGGCTGGAGGAGCCAGGACGTAGAAGAAATGAAGCTAACAGACTTGGCTATGTCCGAGTTTGTTCATTAAAATGACATGACCTGGAATTGGGTTTGGCATTTGGGTTTAAGTTGATTACCTAAATGTTTATTTTTTTTTCCTCTTCTAGGAAACCAGTTCCCTCCAATTGCAGCACAGGACCTTCCATTTGTTCTGAAGGCCGGTTACCTTGAGAAGCGGAGAAAAGGTAAAGGCTAAGGCTCCAGGAGAGACCATTGGGAAGGATGCGGTCCTCTGTCCTGCGCTCCTTATGGACTGATGTTCTCCTGGGTGAATGAGGAGAGACTTTGGGGACATGATCAGCGCCATAAGCTCATCCTTCAGTTTTTTGGAGTAACCACAGTCAAATGCATATTTGGTTTTAGATTCTTGTGAGTGGTGCCACTGGGGGCACATGAAAGGGTCATGGCCAATGTCTTATACCCCAGCTTTGTGCACAGTGGGCACTTAATGACCTCACCCACACACACACACACACACACACAGTGGGCACTTAATGGCCTCACCCACACACAGTGGGCACTTAATGACCTCACCGATGCACAGGGGTCGCT